GGCATCGGCCATGGCCCGCCAGAGCTGGGCGCGGCGATCCGATCCCGACCCGATGCGATCTCCAGATCTGCCTCGGGCCTGCCTCCCCGTGCTCCCAGGGCCATGCGCTGTCTGCCACAGGCGGGGCGTCCGGGCCGCTGCGCCTGCAGCGCTCTGCTCCCCCGCCCGCGGGAACGCCCGGATCTCTGGCAAGCCCGCGGCCCGGGGGCGACGGCCCCTGCGCGCAGCTCGCGAGGGCGGCGGATTGGGCCGCTCTCGCGGGCCGTGTGTACAGGGCAGCCGAGCGGGCTGGGCGGCTGCGGGGGGGCCAGCAGCAAGTCATGGGAGCCCCCTGTATTCCAGGCCTCCCAGATGAGGACAGCGTAGATTGGGTCGGAGGATCGCTCCGCATCGCTGATGCATCGACGATGCGGCTCGATGTAGAGCCCGATTTTCTCCACGCCGACGTCGCCGATGCATCGCCGAGGCATCGCCGAGGCATCGGCGATGCACTGGCGATGCATCGGCGATGCGGTGCAATCCTCCGACCCCATCTACTCGGACCCATCAGGGAGGCCTCTGTGTGTGTGTGTGCTCGCAGTTCTGTCTTCAGAGCGCATCAGCGTGCGCTGGCGTCCTGGTGATCGAGGAGAGTAGGCGCCGACTCAGCGTCGACGAGCGCCGATTCAGAGTCGATTCGTGCCGATGTGGGGCTGATTCGCAAGAGGCATCAAGATGGCATGGGAGGCTCCCACGAGTTGCCACAGCAAGGGGGGGCAACCACGCCTGGCAGAGGTCTGGGGCAACGTCTGGTCCCGCCCGCGGAGGCGTGTGCCTCTCGGGGAGTTCTGGCGTGAGCATGGGCATGGATAAGATGCCGATCGCTTATCCCCGCGTCCTGGGGGCACACGGGTGGCTCGCCATTCTTGGCCGCCTCGGGGTGCCCGTTCTGGAAGCGCCGTCTGCTCCGCGTTGTCAAAGAAGGCCACGACGTCTGCTGGCCTGAATGAGATCCATCTCCTTATGACTGGCATTATCCCGATGCCGATGTTTTGGATTCCCTTGGTTTCTGAGGGCGTATGCCTGAGACTGTCATCGCCTGTGGGCTCGTCAATCTTAGGGATAGTGTCCCATCCTCCTCCTCCTCCTCCTCCTCCTCCTCATCCTCCTCCTCCTCCTCCTCCTCCTAAGAGTTGTCATCGCCTTGGGTCTCTCTCTCTCTCTCTCTTGCCTCCTCCTCCTCCCTCCACCTCCTCCTCCTCCTCCTGCCCCCCCGCTCGAGGCTGGTTAGAAATCGGAAGCGTGGGAGCGACCCGCTCCCATGCTTCCGACGTCGTGACCTTTCTTTTGCACAGCGCATCACCAGAGCCGTTTTTCAGGGGCAGCGATAGCGGGGCATAGGCGTAGGGGGGATGCACCGACCCGCAACCGCCCATTGATCGCCGATAGGGCTCTGATTGTCCCGCCCTGCCCAGGAAGGTTCGGATCTGCTATCAGGGGCCTATCGCCGATCTGTCGGCGATGTATCGCCGATTCCAGGTCGATGTTTCCCCCACTTCTGCCAACCCCCCACAAGCGTTGCCCCTGAGTTTTTTTGGGCAGTCGCGCGGAGAGGTTTCTGCTGAACGTGCCCAGGGGGCCTGACAACGGCCCCAGGAGGCCGCCATTGTCTATGGATGGTCGTACGGGCGGCCCGGATTCGTAGGTCGAGCCTGCCAGATCAAGGGTACCCTCGTGTCCTGTGTCTTGCGACCCCTTCCCTTCTGCATTTCTGTGGCAACGTGGCCCTCGGAAGGGTCTTGTGTCCTCTCGCGTGTCCTCTCCAAGCAAGTCCGGCTGCACGGCCGGGAATTCTGGGTCAGCGCGTCGCTCCTCCCCGCCGCTTCTGGCCCACCACGCTTCGACGTGACACGCTGTCTGTGTCCCCATGTCCAATCACCGATTTCCCGAGCCTTTTCCGAGCCTCCCGCCCCGCGGAGTGGAGCGACACGCTGTCCGCTTGCACGGCGTCGCGTGTCGCAGGGGCCGCCGCCGCGACGCGCTATCCCAAAGTTCCTGACCGTAGGCTTCCTAGATGGGGGTCCGAGTGTATGGGGTCGGAGGATCGCGCCGCATCGCCGACGTATGGCCGATGCATCGGCGATGCGGCTCGATGTGGACCCCGATTGTCTTTACGCCGAAGCCACCGATGCATCGCCGACGTTGCTGGTGCATCGACGATGCATCTGTGATGCGGCGCGATCTTGCGACCCCATCTACTCCGACCTTATCTGGGAGGCCTTCAGATTTTCAGCAAAAGCATTCAATACGTTGCTGCTGGAGGTACGGGCCCAACCAGGCACCCGCGGGGGCGCGAGTGCAATCGCGCCTCGCGCTTCGCCAGTCGGGGCTGGAGAGGCGTGCCTTTTTCCAAGAGCCTCCTGGACTGTACGCGCGGGAGCGCGAAGATGACCACGTTGCGTGCTTCGCGTGGCATCGAAGCGCCAGGTGAGGTAACTTGCGGCGGGTCCGTACCACTTCC